TCAGAAGGGTGGAGTGCAATTCAGAATACTTTTTGAACTTTCGTTCGCGGTACTGTTGCATGAGGATTGCATCCTTCTCGTGGAAGGATGTGTAAGTCTTCTCCAACATGCGTTCCTCCGAAACTTCTTCACCACACAACTTCAGGCGTGAGGTGATATTATGAAGTGCTGAGTTATACTCAGCTATGGACTTAAAGTCCTGAAGTCGGAGGTTTTCCCACTCATAACGTGCACGTGGGAGGATCACATCTTTCTGATGTTTGTATCGGTCCTCAAGTGCAGTCCACAATTCCTTTGGGTCCTCTACAGTCAGGTATTCGGCCTTCAGGGTCCGATCAATATGTCTCCTGATGTAGATAATGGCTTTCGCCTTATCTATATCAGAGACGATCACTGTAGTAGCAACCTCAGCATTATTTATAGCATTACCCGTACCATTGGCCGGAGCCGTTGAAGAAGGAGTTGAAATGGTGGCTAATAAGCCCTGGGCACGTAAGTGGAACTTCAGGTCCACATGCCAACTCAAATAATTCTTGTCAGCAGCGTCAAGGACTTCGAAATCAACGCTCGCTATTTTAGCCATTTTATCTATGCATTTGAAAGACATGAATTAATAATAAGGAATTAAAAATTCATGCAATAAACATGTTGCGTGGATCAGCCCGTCACCAAAAAATAAAAAGTGTCCAAAGTCCTATTATACAGTCCAAAGATAACAAAAAACATAAAATTAAAATACAATTTGGAAAACCCTTGGGGGTCCCTGCATTTTGCAAAAATGCCTTCGTCTTCAATGGAATACACCGGTCTTTGACTTTTTACAATTATATCCTCACTACAGTTTCTCTCTCAGAAGGAAAAGAAAATTCAAGGAATTTAAATTTGGTGACAAAACAGGCTGATCCAAAAACCACAACATTATTTATTTAAACATCCATGCAATTTAATAATGATATATGCAACAGGCATAACAATTGCGCAACATCTCAGACATATAATTAGATATAACCTAAATTTTTAGTGAACAAATCTGCAAGATTATCTCAAATATTTTCTACTCTCTGATACCATTGACATACACTATAGTTAATGTATACTTGCAGACACACCTGCGAGACCATGTTATAAGAATGTGTGCTCGAGAATATCAGGGAGTAGAAAATGCAGGTTTTGTACCTATCGCTTTATGTTCTATTTTATTACCACATATTCTTCTAGCTCTGGGAAGGCATTTTTCCACTGTCATGAGCGATGAAGAGTATAGACAAACTATATATAGAAATGACTAATTACTAATATTATAATATCATTCAGTTTAGTGGTTGCAGTAACATCTAGTCATTTTATATGCACATACATATCAAATTGTATGACTAATACGTAGCTTTTCCCTTTCCAACTAATTGTCTGTTTGATCATATTCATCAGATGATGTCTATATTGAACAATTTACTGTGGGAAAAAAATATGACAGAAGATAAAACTGGACACACAATACAACTGATAATCATAGCGAATCCAGCAAAATAAGTTGCTAACATGATTTTTTTTTTTGTTAATTTTCCAGCTGTCATATATTATTCTACGGATTATAGTAATTACCTCTAGATCAAAGATCTAGGGACGATCGATACTAAAGATCCGTAGAACGCTGCCTCCTTGCGATGATCCGTCGAACGCTCCCGCTGTAACGAACCAGATCTCAATGCGTCCGTAGAACGCTGCCTCCTTGCGATGATCCGTCGAACGCTCCCGCTGTAACGAACCAGATCTCAATGCGTAAAAGAGGAAAGAAATATTTTTTTTATGGCTCAGGGATTCAAGAACACTTCGTGCTGATAACGTGTTTGAAACTCATACCTAGGCCAAAGGCCTATGATATATATTTATACTAGTCAATGTGAATAGGTTGAGTACCCAAGAGTCACCCCCACTTAGTGGGGTGTTACACCACCATAATGGGGTGTGAATGGAGGGATATTGAGGGGGAGGTCAAAGGCCTCTCTCATCTCATAATATTTACAATTATTATTATAATGATGGTCTAACAATGGTGATAATCATAATAGGAAAGAAGTAAAGAAAAAAAAATAAATATAAAAAATAAAAAATAACAAAATAAATATGAGTTCTAGTTTTTTACTACCTAGTTCCAAGCTAAAACTTAGAATAATTTGAGAGGCTAGAACTCTCATTTTTTTTATAGAAAAATAAAAAAAATAGGATAATTTTGTACCATTATCCCAATTCTAGTTTTGTTAGAATTCTACTTGACTAACATTGTAAAATTTTGTTCTAGTTTTAGTTCTATATGACTAACACCTTAAAAATTTATCACACAGATTATCCCAGTTCTAATTTTAAGTTTTAGGTGACTAACCCCCCAAGTAATTTTTTAAATATTTTTGAAAGCAGTCTCTCAAATCATTAAAGTTGCTACAGGACCTCGATTCTTAAATTTTTTGAGGGATATATCGAAATGGGCCAAATATTTCGGGTTTGTTGCGGAATTTACCCATTTTTTATTGTTCTCTGTACCACTATTAGAAAGTACATCAGCTCAACATAACCAGCATTTTATTTTAGGATGAATTTCTCTAAACACCAAGAAATTGTGATGAGATTGCTCAGATTCTTGGATTTGGACACGGGTCGCTAAAATACCATGTCAAAAGTTTGCAAAGATGATGGCATGAACAACGTTTTACCACTAACATTTTGTTTAGGGTAACTAACACTTAATATACCCTATACTTGCCCATCATTTTGCACTTATATACCCTCACTTGTCTTTAGCAGCACCTATATACCTTAAGTTTTAAAATTGAAATGTTAATACCTTTTGCCATGCAAACGTCAGAATATTCCTATGTAATACTCACATGCTAATTTAGAACTTTTTTTCATCTTTTCTTATCTCAGTTCTAACTTAAATGGGGTATAAATTAAATTGGGTCGGTCTAATAGTAAATATAACAAACATTAATGGTTAAAGAAGTTCAAAAACTAGCTTGTCAGTGCCATATATATTAGGGGCAATACTCTCACCTTCCCATAACAGAATGTGCTGAAGTGTCAATTTTAAGAACTCCAAGGTATATACGTATATCAATATTGTCAAATTAAGCAAGCGAGGGTATAGAAGTGCAAAGTAGGGGAAATTATAAGGTAATTAAGTGATGATTAGCCTTAAAGTATAAGTAAAACAAATTGGTTTAGTTTAAATAATGCAACTGAGCAATTTTTGGTCCTAAAATTCATGACACCAAACATGGGACAAAATACGATGTCTCATGTTCCTGCGATTTCATCCAACATTCATGACTGACGAAGGAATACATCACTCGTCTCATAATTGATTCCGCGCCAGGCTCAAAAGTAATTCCCCAATGCATTTCCTAGTCAATGTTGTCATATTTTTCAAGTTTGGAAAGAAATAGTTTGAAGGTAAAAAGGGCAAAAATTTCACAAACCCTGTTGATGAACTTGGGGGTGTTTTGCACACAACCTCTTAAATTTAATAAATTAGAGAAAACTCTGAACTTATTTCAATAGAATGCAATGATTGACAATGTTTAGTTTACATTATCATGTGTTTCGCATGTGTCGTGTTTTCAAGACTAGTCTAGACTTTTTTACCTTACAACGCTAACGCCATTTATGGAAATTTCCAATTAGTTCGTGGTCGTTTTGTATAATTTCAAAAGTCAGAGCAGTTTCCTGTAATTTATAAGTTTAAGAGGGTTTGTGCAATACACCAGAGTTTAGACGGAAAGTTGTGAAATTTATCCAAACAGGGTAAAGTAAACACATTAAAATATCCTAATGGAAAGTGAATAGGATTGGATTCGGATCCTCTCCGCTACAAAAAATAGTGGAGGGACCACTACATAATCACAGCCATTAATTATCTAGTTGATGGTTGTGATTTTTTCCTTTTAGTCAATATAACAAGCTTGCAGTATATAATAAAAAAAAAAGTGCAGTTATATGGTTTGCTTGCTTACAGATCGGCAAACTAATATCTATTTTAAAATAGATTGAAGTGTTTTTGCAACCTTGAGAATGTGTGTATAATAATAGGGGTAATGTAAGTTTTAGATTTGGCATCTTTCGTAATAACCCTCCTCTACTCGGATGTATCATATCAGGTTGATCTAGAGAAAATAAAATTTGGCTATGATGAAGATTTCAATTATAAGAAGGAAAAAGACCTTAATGTACCATTGAAAAGGTTTGTTTCGTACATCCCATTTGTGCTTTTTCTATGAGAAATAATAACTCATATATGTTTTAGTTTGTTGATTGATTGCCAGTGTCTTCATTAATTTACTGAATGTGCAACAAAAGTGCACGTACATGCAAGCAACAAATAAGAACAAAAGATCCTCACCGTAACAAATGTCGTTTAAAATGGGCTTCTAATTGGTACATATCCGTAGATGAAATCTTCACAAGGACAACCTATTGAATAAATTAAAGGGTTGATTTCACTTAACCCTCCCTGAACTTTGAAGCTTTTTCGACAGAACCCCCCCTCCTGATATTGTTAGCCTTTAATTGTGGATCGGAATAAACAAAGTTGAGGGAGCTTACATGTGCAAACCAAAAAGTTGTAGGGATCGAGACACGAATTTAAAGCATATTTAAAAAAGAGAAACTATTGCTCTGGTCCAGGTTTTACGCCAAGGAAAAAAGATGCATGTAACCTACAGGGGCATGTTAGAATGTAAAAATATGACCGTCAACCCTCACCATAACATCCGAGTTTATGCTTTAGTAATAATCGAACGAAGCTTTGAATGTTATCTTGGAATGTAGAAATCCATTGTGCTGCTAACATATATGCTTTAAAGAAATTCATGTACTGTAGTGGCAAGTAATTATCTCATCATAAAACCTGGAAAATGAAAAAAAAAAACAATATCTACGGGGGCGATGTCAGTTACGTACAAAGTAGCAAATAATGCAAGAAATTCAACAGAGCGTGCGCTAGCTAGTTCTCTTGCAAAAGTTTCCACATTTTGATTCAAATAGTTAATACACAGAGTAGACAAAAGTTTCCACATTTTAGATCACAATTAATACATAGATGCTACAACACGTCATTGTAGACAGCTAATGTACATTTCTTATGCTTCCCTCGAGAGATTGAAATAACATTTCACTTATTTAGAGGACAAAACTAACTCACTCTTGTGGAAGCATAACTACCTAAACTACAATGGAAGAGGATATCCACGTAAATACTTAGAATCCACTCTTGACTCACGAGCCAACGCAACACGGCCAGTTCTAGCCACCTACAAAAAAGAGGCAGGAAGAAGTGGGTCTCAATGAATGAATGAAAATTTTTTTTTCCTTTATTTAATTCTATCAGAGAAATTTATAGCTGTAATGTCATCTGCGCAACACCCATCAGAGGACTTTCAGTTCAGTCACTAAATGTATTTGATTAACTGACCATAGCATGTTCTTCATTGATATCTTACATAACCTAACAGCTTATTCACTAATTTGCTTTTAGGTTTTCCAGAGCTCCACCATCAGGATTTAATCACAGGCATAATCACAATTGCATGGCTCAAGTGAGAGGTTAACTAGCTTTTTGTTGACTGTTTCATAATTTGTTTTTGTGAACAATTTCGTTTTTAGGCAGTCCTTTTTAGAGAACATAGATATATTGAGAGAATTTCATGTATCAGAAGTTTCGAACAAATTTATTTATTTGGAGCTTATAGATGTTATTGTATGAGACTGAATTATTTGATTATTTTTACTTGTAGACTTGTAGTTACTTGCTCTAAATGAAATCTGATTAGGCTTAGCTGCCTTGGATATCCATTTCATACTCATATTATCGATGTTATGATCTCTAAACTATGCTGCAGGGTCAGGGTCATAACAAATCTCAAAATGACAATTTTTATTTACTAGATATTTTGATCTCCAACCTATGCTGCAGGCTAAGGGTGATAGGAGTCATGGTAAATCTCGAAATGCCAATTTGTATTTAATGATTACGAGATTTCAACCAAGATTATTTGTAATACAGGAGAAAGTAATGCCAATTCTGTTGTGAATGGATGTCAAATATTAATGGTTAAGAGTCTAGAAGTCAACCTCACAGATGCCATAAGGCTCCAATAACCTCTGTAGTGCGACGATCTTGTAGAAGTCTCCAGCAAGCTAGGATTAAATACAGAAATTCCACTATAAGCCTCATAGGAAATCTAAATAAAATATATAATATCAGGAAAAAAATATCAAGACATGTATAAAGAAAAAGAGTCTTAGTGCACTAGTAAGGAAAAATGATAAGATTATTTTAATTGAGAAAAACGATCTAGAAGTAGACCTAAGAAAGAACTTGGTGGGACACAATTAAGAAGGATATGACACAGTTCACTTTAACGGAGGAGATGATCCAAAATAGAGCTGAAAGGTCTAAGCTTTTCATGCATGTCACATGGCACGAATATATATTTATATAATATAATGGTGGATTGGTGCTTAATAAAGATGAAGTAGGCCAGCCAGTTTCGGTAAATATGTGAACAAAACTCCAAAACCAGGCATTATACATGATCAATAATTGCTAATAGAATTACCCATGGTGCTCGATGCAAAGATACTGTTAGCTAACCCCTTCATATCTTAGGTTTCTTTAACGTGTGCATTTCGCTATAAGCAACAATTAGTTGTAGGTAATATAAGCTTCAGAGATGCAAGAGAGAGAACCAAACTTGTACAAAGCTGTTCTATTAGCAATGCTGTGCAACTTACAAGAATGGAAACAAAACTGTGAGAAGGGGCGGGAGGGGGGGGGATTGCTGACAACGATACCCATGGTTTTATGGTTCCAAAGTGTATCAAGTAATGATTGGAGTATCCATAAACTAGGAAGAACAATCTGAGAGATGTAAATATATCGAAGCTTGAGGTAGGACAAAAATTGTTGTCAAAGAAATTTGTTTCCTCCTCTAAGTATGGGGTCAATATTACAATAAATATGGGCTAAATAACAAATATGCGCACACACATACAGACTCGAACATTTGAGGCCTATGTCGCATGATGAATAATCAACTTTGGTAAAACAATAAGCCAGAAGGATCATTCAGTAGATTCTATGAAGCTAAGAAAAGTTAGATAGCTCATTACCCAATTCTGGATTCCCCCGGGTCTGTAAGTTTTGCAAGCAACAAAAGTAATTTCTATTCATAATATCTTGAATATTATGAAATTTAAATTAAAAAATAACTAAAGCTCCAAAAGAAAGACAAAGCAAACCTGAAGTGTAATTGTGTGATCAGATACATCGACAACTTTCGCACGGAAAATGTCAGCAATGTCCAGGATATCCCTTCGGGCAGCAGTATTGATAGCAACCTTTATTAACATCATCTCTCTTTCGGCAAAAGGCATGTGGGTCAAATCCCAAACCTGAAAGTGTCATGAAATTCCATTAGCACCAAATTTACTGCCAAATTAACTGTGCCAATAAAACCGATAAGAAGTTCACCTCATGAACATCAATAAGCTTGTAAAGTTGCTGGATTAACTTGCCAATAGACTCATTAGTTCCAGGAACAACAGTAGTAATACGAGAGAGTCCTTCCTTCTCGGCAGGACCAACAGCAAGACTCTGAGAATGAGGCCATTCATATGATTATAGATCTTTAAAATTTGTATATAAGAGAAACAGAGGAGAATTTTTGATGAGGAAACCTGAATATTATAGCCCCTGCGAGAAAATACTCCAGTCACAATGTTCAGAACTCCAGCAGCATCACTTACAAGAATAGACAGTGTATGCGAACAAAAACCGTTTGACTAGAAAAAAATACACGGGCTGTTAGATTTCCATGAACTAAATGTTCAAACTGAAAGAAAAATGACTGCTTAAAAGTTCCTGCACGCAAAAATGGCAATAGCCAATAACGAAGTAGTCTGTACAGAGTGAGAATTGCAGTGGAAAAAATTCCAACTAATTGCTCAAACCGACTAATCATCTGACAGTTGCATTTTAATTGAATGGAAAAAAATGGATACTCAATACATCGAAAAGTGATACAGAAGATTGTTACACTTTTCATTCTTCTGCAACCCAATATTAACAACTGCATGTTATCCACTGAAATATGTAAAGTGTACAGCCTTTTCTATTGCATAGACCCAAACTGCAACTGTTTATCAAGTTTACGATCATATAAGTGCAGACATGGCATTCAGAAGAAAGGAAAAACAAAGGCAAATAATGCAGCCAACATAACAGATCTCCCAAAAGTGCTGGTTAGAATCAACATTAAAATGAACATCACTAGCTTAATCCTTCATTGTAAGAACATCCACTATGCATCAAGAAATATATTCATTGAATGCACTCAAGATAATAGATTTTTCAGAATCAAGAGTAACAAAATGAACAGTAACTTACATCTTCATTGTAAACGTTACCCCAATTTGCATCAAGAACCTTGTTCATTGCAAAATCCTCATTAGACTCCACAGGATACACATCTCCCTTCCAAAAAAACCAGAGAGAGAGTGAGAGAGAGAGAGGAGAGAGAGAGAGAGAGAGAGAGAGAGAGAGAGAGAGAAAAAAAAAAACATAAATTGTGTGAGAATTGAATAAGCAAATAAAATAAAGAAAATCAAATATGCAAAGGATATTTTTTTTTCAGCATACTTTTAGCAAATAAAAATATGGTAAAATAATCTGACAACAAATCAACAATATGCACCTTAGTGCGTGGTAGTTTACATCAGAAAAAGAAAATTTAACAGCAGCAGAAAGGGTAATGGATCAGCAGATAGAGTTCCCTATGATGACATAAGTCAGTAATTACATGCCCTACATTTTCCTGGAGCATGATTCAAAAATACAAGGATGTGGGATTTATCATCTTCTCTTAGTCATGCTATATGCATAGAGAGGTTCCGACCCTGATGCTTTTGTCAATAGTTGAAATAAGCAAGTGTTAATGGAATCCAAACTTTTTCAGATAAAGGCCATTGTGGACAGAGCAATGAATATTTGTGCACCTACTAAGGTATTGATTATGTAACTTGCTATCCTCAGTAACATGAAGCTATAAAGACGCAGCTTTGTTTGGTAGGGGGTTTGAAAAGGGAACATGAGGGATGGACATCCCTTTAAGCCAGCGTGTTTGGTTGGAAGGGAGGAGAAGGGAGGAGACAGGATGGACATCATTTTGTACTCATTTTCTCTCTCCTCTTGTGTCCTTCCAATTTAAGGATTCTTCTCTCTCTAACTTTCTAGGTCATTTTGCGATGTCCCTTTGTCACGTCACCTTCCCCACTCTACATCCCCCAAAAACCCTCTACCAAAGGCAAATTCATCTTTTATCCCTCACCTCACCCCCCTTCCCTCCTATCAAATCAAGCCAGTACTGGTCATAATGGACACAGTTTTCATGACAACTTAATGATAAACTGATTTAGATTTTTAAATGTCATGATTTCAGACATTGAACTCGTCATTGTAATAAAAGCTATAATATGCAATCCTCTTCCCAGTAAGATTATACATCAATATCAAGAGGATATTTAATTTCTCTCTTCGCTGATGTTTGCAAGATGACAAATCTAATCTAATTTATGCTAGCCGCAATTATTAACTTCCATTCAATAAAACTAAGACTTCTTTACAGTTTACGCTAAGGTCCATTAACAAGAGTCACAACTTAACAATATGAGAACTGAAACGGGCAGAAATTTAATAAAAGTTTTAATATTAAGAAATAACAACAAACCAGTGTTAGCACTTAACAGCAATGGTGTTTGTAAAAATAAATAAATAAATAAATAGTAGTTTCTTTTACATAAGAATTTCGAGGATGAAAGCAAATTCTTTCTTTAATTAATCCAATACATGTGTCCTTCTATATCTTTACCGCTATAAATAAATTACTTGCTACCATAAAACTTTGTCATAAATATTACAGTTCAACACTTTTCAACTTTGAATAAGTGAAGAAATGCCTGAATAGAATGAAAATAGGAAACATGAAAACTCTAGATGGTGCAAAAAATGATGTTCTGACAAGAGAATGTTAATACTGAAAGATACATACCCCAGATGGAAGTTCAGATTGACCATTGACAGCTCTGCCATTAGCCCCAAAAGGTGGACTTATAGGCACTTCAAGGTCTGGATAAGTGGCAGCAGAAAATCTCCAAAATGGGGCTTTCTCTCCCATTCTCTCACGTCTCAAAGCAATCTATGGGAAACAAAGTTCAGAAACATCACACTAGAACCAAATAAACAACATCTAGATTTCATGCTGGCAAGATCAATAACCTTGCCAGTTCTAGCAATTTCTTTGATTCCAAATTTGCGCAGGTTCCTTTCAACAGCAGCAAGTTTTCCAGGATCTCCAGTTACCTGCATCCTTGGTCATTAAAATGGATCCAGTGGTTTAGGTTTATAAAGCATTGATTATGGTTCAACAGTTGTCACCTCAATGGTCAGTGAATCTTCTGAAATATCAACGACTTTTGATCGGAAAATATCAACCAGACCCATGATCTGTAATAAATGTGATTACTATATGGTATCAAATCATTTTACTGAAAGAAACAATAACTCACATGGAAATTTTCAGGGCAAAACTGATGCTAGAAACTTTATCTAGTAACATAACACTTGCATGCATTCAAAAGATGTTAAAAGTTGAAGACATCAGTAATCTACTGAAAATTTGTTACTAAACATCAAAGGAGACATTCCAAAATAATTTTTTAGGGAATATGGAAGATATTTACTAGCAGCATGTAGCCACATCACTCTTACTGAATCGCAGGAGCATCACATGAGTATAAAATGTGATATGTACTTACATTTAAAAATTCATACAAACTCTATGCAGTACTGGGAATTAATGAAGATTGACATACCATTTACTTCTTGATTTTAAATGCTCTAAACTTACGTTGGTTCTTTTGTTACTTATAATGATTGCCAAATGACCATTATATACAGAATAGTGTATCTAGCTATATTACTACCACATCATGTTAATGATATAGATGATTCACCAAGGTTGCAGCAAAACCACTGCCATTTCCGCATCGAGGGAGAAAACAAAATGAATTGTTTTAAGTAAAATACTTATCGCATGAACAAAAGATTTTCATCTCATGTAAGGTTACTGTATAAGATTAAAGATGAAAAACACTGAAATGAAATTAATTATTATACCTCCTGGTGCTTGTCTGGATCAACGTTGAGTTTTACAAGCATCAATTCTCGTTCCACTTGTGGTTCCCTTGATAAATCGTCAACCTATAAAGTACATCAAAACTAAACGCTACATCAAGAAGGAATTAAAAAAACAAGACAGAAACATCGTTAATCTTTTTAATTGTGAAATCCAGTGCCCTTTTTGGGCAATTAAATCAATGAACAACATTCTATCCCCAAGTGTCCTGCTTGACGATGGAGATTAATTCATCACTGTTTGATGGTTGCACCTACAAGATGACGTCATCTAAGAAAATGACATGATTTCTTACCAACCATCAGTTTGGACATGCAAAAAAGAGGGAAATTACTAAATAATCATGGAAAATCTCTTCATCACAATAGTACATATGCTTCATGGACAGAAGATTGCTCAGATTATCCCAACCCATGAATACTGAATGCTAAGTTTAAAAAAGATGAAGATAAACCACCTACAAAAACAATCAAGTGTAATATCAAGACATGCCCTTGCTTTGTCTTCCTAACAATCAAGCGGTCTCGAATGGGTCCTGGATTCTTGAAGCTTTTTAATGCAAGCGAGCATCTGAAAATGTTTCAACTTTGAAAGCATAGCCAACTGTTGCTAACTTATATGCATGATAGGCTGATAGCTATAGTGACGTTACCATGACTCTCAATAATTAAAACCCAAAAGTTTGCTACGTCTTGATCTCTATATATATATATATATATATATATAGAGAGAGAGAGAGGAATATGGGTATACTTGGGCCAAGGCAGGGCCGTACCTAGGAATTTTGGGGCCCAAGGCGAAATATTAGATGATGCCTAACTGGTACAACTCATAATAGATTTTATCTCATTCTTCTTACCTTTTGAGCTGCAAAATTACTAATTAAAGTTTTATATTCAATATGTTCTAACATATTATTTTCGATAGATTATATTGCTAAACCATTTAATCTATCTTGTAACATGGTCGATCTTAAATAAGATTTTAGTAATTTTAATTTTAAAAAACTTCTTTCAGCGGAAGCAACTGTTACGGGTATAGTCAATAATACACGATAAGCAATACAAGTATTTGGAAAAGAATCTAAACGTTTTATATAGTTCAACACTTCAATTGGACTATTAATCTCTACTTTTAAAATTTCCCTAAGCACTCTCAATTCTGAAAACAAATCAAGTCCATTAATATCTAAATGTTCATCATGTTTTAGTGCATTTTCGAGATTAAGACAATAATCTTTCAATTCAATATCATCTAAAGCTTTTAACTTTTTCAAATCAAACAAAAAACCAAAATTTTTTTCATATGTTTTAAATTGTTCAAACCTACTTTCAATTGAGCCAAGCGATTTATCAACTATGTATAAGAAATATTCAATACGAAAAGATTCTTCAGCGTTAAATATTGTTTCATTACCAATATTTTCATCAAATTGTTTTTTTCTATGAATTTTACGTTTTTCACAAAATATAGGTTTATGTTCATTTCATTAGCGAGTTCTTTAGTTGAATTCAAAGCAGACATAAAACCATTTTGTCTATAATTTTCTAGATATACAATAAGACCCTTTAATTGATCTATAGCAATATCAATATGCATATCTTTAGATTGTAAGATTTTACTAACTGAATTAACAGCAAACAATATGTCATACTAAATATTCATGGCTAACAAGAATTCAAAATTTTCAATCTCATAAGTTGCTAAGCAATTAGCTTCACTTTTTATCTTTGGATCTTCACTAATTTCTGCTAATTGAATCAAAGCATCTCTTATATTTGGAGCTTGAAATTTTATTGCTTTAACACTTTCTATCCGACTTTCCCATCTAGTTTGAGATAAAGATTTAACAGATAACTTGCATCCATTATCCTCTAAAATTTTCCATCGTTTAGTAGAGGAAGCAAACAATGAGTATATACGTTGCAACACTCCAAAAAAAGAAATAGCTCTAGGACATGAATTAGCTATATCACATAAGACTAAATTTAAATTATGACAACCACATGGTGTGTAGAATGCTCTAGGATTTATATCTAATAGCCTCTTTTGTACTCCATTGTGTTTTCCTTTCATATTAGATCCATTATCATAACCTTGCCCTCTTATTTCTTTAACATCAAGTTCATATTTTTCCAAAATATTTAAAAGTTCATCAAAAAGGCCTTTTCCCGAAGTATCATCTACTTTTAAAAACTCTAAAAAGTATTCTTCAATCTTTATTGGACTTGTTGAAGTATCAACACATCTTAAAATAAGAGACATTTGTTCTTGATGACTTGCATCTGGAGTACAATCAAGGATAACTGAAAAATATTTTGCTTCTTTTATTTTTTTAATGATCATTTGTTTAATTTCAGAAGCTAGCAACTCTATTAGTTCATTTTGCATTTTATGACTAAGATAATGATTTTGAATTTCACCTTTTTGAATACGTTTAACATGTTCTTGCATTATGGGATCAAATTCCGCTATCATTTCAACTAAGCTTAAAAAGTTTCCATTATTTTTTTCATATATCTTTTCTTTTGTTCCTCGAAATGCAAGATTATTTTTTGATAGATGTTTTACTATAGCAATAAGTCTTAGCAAAACTTTTTTCCAGTGTTCTTTTTCTTTATTAATTTGTTCTTGAATGTTTTTATCTATTGTCTTATTTTTTTGTAATCTTATTTCTAAATCCACCCACTTACACATATTAGTGATATGTTCATGACTTGTTTCATGACTTTTAATTTTATATCCAAGATTTTTCCAATCTCTAGTACCTTCGTTAACTAACTGACTTGTACTAGATTTTAAACTAAATAATTTGCAACAAAAACAAAAAACTCTATCTAAATCTTTTGAGTAAACTAACCACCTTCTTTCATGTTTTTCTCCATTTGACAATTTTTGTATGTAATATGATGTAGAAAAGTGTCTATTATTTTCATCTTTGGGAAAATCTATTTCTTCATATTTAATTGGACCTTTTTCAACTATTAGATCTATAAAATTTTGATCAATACATTTCCATTGTCCAGGATCATAAATATTGATAAGAATTGAATTTGATATCTCATTCATCTCTAAATTTTTTTCTTGGCCCTCATGTGAATTTTCTTTATATTCTTCATTACCATTAGGAGTATTAGCTTTTTCTTCTTGAATATTATTATCATTAATATCATTATTTTGTTCTAAATTCTCAACATATTCTTCTAATTCATTCTCAAGTAAAGAATCATCTATTATTTCTTCTTCTGTTGAAGTTGATGTAATATTATCTTTATTACTAAAAACAAATTTATCAAGAGCTCCTTGTTGAGATCGAATTAATTTTTCAACTCTTTTTCTTTTCTTCAATTTTTGACAACCACTTTCATATTTTCTATTAGGCATGCTTTAAAAATATAAAATACTAAGTAAAAAGATTTCAATGTATATCTACAGTATTTCTATTTCTAATTAACTAATTAAGCATAAAATTAATATGAATAAATGATAAAGAAAATTAAATAGATTTTAGTTAGAAAGATTGAACCCAGATTCGAAGGCGGTGGCCGGTGAGCCCGCTGCCCGCGAGATATGCGGCGTGGGGTGGAGGCTCACGGCTGGCGGGGCGGAGCTGCGCCGGCGGAGGTGGCTGGTCCGACGGAGGCGGGGCGTCGCGGTGCGGTGGGATGCTGGATGATGATCGGAGCAGAGGCGGACTGGCGGAGCGCCGGAGCCTGCCTGATTTGGCGGTGGGAAGTCGGATCGGAGCAAAGGCGAGCGGAGGCGGAGGCGGAGCACCGAGCACACGGCACAGGCGTTGGGGGCTTGGCCGCCTGGCGTTGCGGCCGTTGGGCCGTGAGAGCGGAGCGGAGCGCCCGTCACCGGCGATGGCTGCGGGTAGGACTGGCAGTGGGGCGCGGAGCTTGGTGCTCTGCTCAGCTTGGATGTTGGGCAGTTGGGGAGACGGAGAGAGGGTTTTGGCTCTGGGGAGACGAGAGACTGAGAGAGGCGCGGGCGATGCCGGAGACAAAAAATTGGCATTAGGGTTTTTGGCTGCGGCTGGGTTTTAAACACCTTAAATATTGGATTTGGGTGGGGCCTACCCAAAACGAGCCCAACGCAACTGCCTTAGCTTGCCTTAAAGGGTAGGGCCGGCCCTGGGCCAAGGATCCTTGGTAGTGATGTGGACCACATTTTCTTATCATACATCAACCCCTTGAGTTGGTGAGGCTCCATCTTAAGGTGTGATGCTATGGACAAGATGTGTTCCACATCAACTACCAAAGGCATCCTGGTTACCAAGTATACCCATTTTTCTCATTATATATATATATATATATATATAATATATAATATATATATATATATATATATATATATATATAGTGTTTGCTCAAAAGAAACAACATGAATTCAGATGCAATTTAAGATTAATAAGTATATAAGAAAAAGGGAAGCATAACAAGTAGAAATAATGGGATATCACCCATTCACTAATGAGGGATCATTTTCTACGTCCAGATATTACAGGCGCAAAGGGAAATCACTATGTTCACATAATCACTGACCTTAAAGTTCAGAAAACATGGCTAATTATAATTAGGGACTATAATTCCTGACCTGTGTCCTAGTGATTTAAAGTTATGCCTAATTATGGAACTTGACACTTATCTTATGCATCAAGATAAAACTAACTTTAGTAATTTTTTGTGGTAGAAAATATGAAACCGTGCCAAGATTCAGAACTCCAGTCCAACAAAGCAAATATATAGCTTTTTTAACAGATATCTGAAATTTTACCTTTAAAACACTAACAAGTTTATTAAGTTGCTCCACAACTTGTTGCAGTACTTTTTCAGTCCCTGAAACAACTATCGTGAACAATGCCCTGTCCTTATTCAAACCAACGGCAAGTGACTCAATATTGTATCCCCGTCTAGCAAACACTCCAGCAATTCTATTGATTATTCCACTTTCATCTCCAACAAACACTGATATTGTGTGGCGTCTCACCCTGTTTTCATAAAATATATTAGAGATATGAGGAGTTACTCACAAAGATTATAAGTTGCATAATATTTTTTAAAGAAACAAGTCAATCTATAAAGTAAAAATTGGTTAAAGAAGTTTCAACTGAATAACACCAGGAAGAAGATAATTTTTACCCCGGCCCTAAGAATCTAGGGTAGAAAGATCGTTGTAGATAAATGAATACAAGAATGGGTGCAAACGTAGGCCGAGTAGTGCAGAAGAGTACTTCAATACAATTGAAACATCCTAATAACTAATAAATGAGGAATGTTCTCAATATACACCTGTACTAACTCACTAAAGAATGAGAAAACCAGTGACAAAAGCATGTCTAAAAATAAAGTTATAAACTCAAAAAAGAAATACAATTCTCCTACTTTGTTATGACACCTCTAAAATTCTCAGGATATATACAGAATTTGATAGTTAAAAGGATCCATGTATCGTAGTTCTACCAACAGAGACAAAGACAACAGAAATTAAAGGAGAATTTCAACCAGGAGAAGCATGTGTACTAGTGTCACTAGTCATCGCAGGGTAGGCCAAGATGATACTTCCAGTATTGAAAATAATTAGTAGGAAATGAAGATGTAGTGCACATAATGAAGCCAATGGGCGGTACAAACTACGTGCATGGTATATCACATTAAAATAACTCCATCTAGCAGAGAAACAGCTTCCTCTCAAAACTGATAAACTTTCTGAACTCACATTTGCAAACCATTGGAATTCCTCCTCAACACGCACCTAACGTTCTTATACCATCATTTATAACCGCTTACAAGAAAATAAACATACTCACCAATATATTCACTAACGGCAATAAGCAATTTGAAGAAGTAAATTCTAATGTTCAGCGAAAATTAAATTCCCAACTAAGGAAAAGAAAATACTACTTAAAATTATGTTCCTCACAGTGTGACACCTGTAGCCCAATATCTGAAGGGAAATTAATACTCTCAAGAGGCTAATTAGTTTGCTGCAAAAAGCAAAATGTACCGACTGTTGCCGCATCATATGTTGCATGAAATCAACTTCAAATTCATTGCTCGATATTTGCAATTTTGTAGAACATGTATTTCCAATGCAAATTCAATGCCAGTTTGATGAATAACTGATTTAATAATTCAGAACTATTTCCTATGGATTGAATCGGAAATTTGTTTCCGATGAGGTGGCGTTTACTTGTCATTTTTCTAATTTCCTTTGCCGGGAAACTTCAGCTTTTACCCTCGTCAGCCATCAAATTGGCTGATTTGATTCTTTTTTCTGCAAATTGTAAGTAAGTCACCCTCCCAAATTACAATGCTACTAGCCGAACATGAGAAATATAACGCTGACGGTAATATTAGCTCCGCAGATCAAATTGGAAATGCCATAAAAAGACAAAGATTCAATCTTTGACAACAAAAACGCAATATCTCACCGATTCCTCGACCTCAGAGGCATAAAAAGACAAAGATTCAATCTTTGACAACAAAAACGCAATATCTCACCGATTCCTCGACCTCAGAGGCACCAACTCGCCCAATCAATCTTTGACAACAAAAACGCAATATCTCACCGATTCCTCGACCTCAGAGGCACCAACTCGCCCAATGCAACGGCCTCTGATTCACTACTGCTCTGTATCTCCGCGCTGCTAGCGTGAACCCCCGCAGCCCTGCAATACTTGGGCCTTGAGATTAGTGAAGGTCTCGTGAGGTCCAGGGTTCTAAAAGCCCCAACTTTGACGCGGGTTTCTCCACTGATTCGAGAAAAAGAAGGGTTCTTTGCTGCCAACGGAGAGAAGTGTGAGCGAGTGAAAGCAGTCGCCATTGGTACTTCACGGGGTTGAGCTCAGTGTTGAGGGTCGAAGAAGGGAGAGGGGGGGCTTTTTTAAAGGAGAGGGTTGATGTTTTTCTTTTGGGAAAAATGCTTCCAGGCCCCAAAACGAATGTAACCGTGCTTCCCACTCCCAAGACTTTTTCAACGTCCCACTCCCAAGACTTTTTCAACGGGTGCTTTGCTCCCAAAAGTAAATTTTTTGTTCTCTGAGCCCCTAAAACACAAAGCCAAATGAATTTTACACAGGTAAAGACTATAATACTCATTCTCTCTCTTTCTAACCCTGCAATCCATCTGCTCTCCCTCCCCCCCCCCCACCCCCCCACGCCGCCGCCCTCCTCCTGCCATCCTCGCCTTCTCTGCCACCGTCGCTCCGGCCATCCACAGCATCCTCAAGATCCACAACACGGAGAAAACCCCGGCGCGGTTCGAGGAGTACAGAGAAATCGTCCGCTCGAGGGTCGAGCGAAACTCCGACGACGAGCGCTGCATAGCCGACGGGAACGAGCGGCTGAGGTTTTACTGCTTCATGATTCTCTGCGCGCTGGGTTTCATGGGAGCGTGGGAGCGTGCGGGAGGACCTGTTCATGGGAGCGTGGGAGTGTGTGGGAGGACCTGTTCATGGGAGCATAGGAGCGTGCGGGAGGACTCGCCCAACCCAAGAACAATAACAAGAAGAAGAAGGACAAGATTGATAGTAATTACAACCATGCTCCTGACCTTGGCTGCTCCCGCTTTGGATGCTACAAGAGCTTCTGGGCTCGTTGGGATGCCTCGCCAAACCGCCACGTCATCCACCTCATCCTCGATGCCTTTGAAGAGACCCTTGAATCGAAGGAGGCCAACAACAAGAAGAAGAGGGGGTTGAAGAGTAAAAAGATTGATTTTGATGAGGCTTAGGCGAAAGAGATGAGTGCCCATGAGGAGAAAGTTGATGATGATGGGTACGGGCATGTTACTAATTACCAACACTAAAACTATTACCACCAAAAAAACTTTAAAATAACCGAATAAAAATATGCCGGTTGCTTGTTAAAATTACTCCCCCATTAGAATGTCCTACATTGGTTGTTAAAGTTATATGTTGGATGTTAATGTTACGCGTTTGTTGTTAAGGTTACGTATTGGTTGTTAAGGTTATACAGGTTGCTTGTTAATGTTACGGGTTGGTTGTTAAGAATACACGTTGGTTATTAAGATTACGGGTTACTTGTTAAAGTTACGGATTGGCGTTAACGTTATACGGGTTGATTGTTAAGGTTACGGGTTGCTTGTTTAACAACCAACTCGTAACCTTAACAAGCAAACCATATAACCTTAACAACCAACCTGTAACATTAACAACCAACCCGTAACTTTAACAACCAACACGTAACCTTAACAATAAACGCGTAACCTTAACAAGCAACGCATAACCTTAACAAGCAACCCGTAACCTTAACAAGCAACACGTATAACCTTAACAACCAACCCGTAACTTTAACAACAAACACGTAACCTTCATATTAACGGATCTTGAGGATCTCTCTGTCGGATTGTTAGGCTCTGAAAAACACGCTAATTGAAGAAAAAATGTAAACTCATGAACGTAGCTTGAAGCTTGAGAAATGTTGTGAATAGTGTCATGCATATTTTGGTTACCTATTAAAGACATTAACAGGGATGGGCGGGCCAACATGCATAAAAATAGTGCATCTAGACTTTCTATATCGTCTAAAAGTTACTGTAAATATACAGAACACTCAGGATCTCTCTGTCGGAATCAACGTGTTTTTCCCCCGCCGAGCTTGGATTTGATGTTTTTGATGCATTTTGTTTGCGTCACTAGTCCTTGTTCTGCTGTTATTGTGATGTCGAGATTTCACCTTGTTTGTTAGGTCCAAGTTTACATTTTTCTTCAATTAGCGTGTTTTTCAGAGCCTAATAATCCGATAGAGAGATCCTCAAGATCCGTTAATATGAAGGTTATGGGTTGGTTGTTAAGGTTATATGTGTTGCTTGTTAAGGTTACGGGTTGCTTGTTAAGGTTACGGGTTGCTTGTTAAGGTTACGCGTTTGTTGTTAACGTTACGGGTTGGTTGTTAAGGTTATATGGTTTGCTTGTTAAGGTTACGAGTTGGTTGTTAAACAAGCAATTATATGGTTTGCTTGTTAAGGTTACGAGTTGGTTGTTAAACAAGCAACCCGTAACCTTAACAATCAACTCGTATAACGTTAACGCCAATCCGTAACCTTAACAAGTAACCCATAACCTTAACAACCAACACGTATTCTTAACAACCAACCCGTAACCTTAACAAACAACCTGTATAACCTTAACAACCAATACGTAACCTTAACAACAAACGCGTAACATTAACAACCAACATATAACCTTAACAACCAATGTAGGACATTCTAATGGGGGAGTAATTTTAACAAGCAACCGGTATATTTTTATTTGGGTTATTTTAAAGTTTTTTTGGTGGTAATAGTTTTAGCGTTGGTAATAATTAGTAACATGCCCGTACCCATCATCATGGTCATCATCATCAACTTTCTCCTCATGGGCACTCATCTCTTTCGCCTAAGCCTCATCAAAATCAATCCTTTTACTCTTCAACCCCCTCTTCTTCTTGCTGTTGGCCTCCTTCGATTCAAGGGTCTCTTCAAAGGCATCGAGGATGAGGTGGATGATGTGGCGGTTGGGTGAGGCATCCCAACGAGCCCAGAAGCTCTTGTAGCATCCAAAGCACGAGCAGCCAAGGTCAGGGGCATGGTTGTCTTCTTCTTATTATTGTTCTTGGGTTGAACAGGTCCTCCCACACACTCCCACGCTCCCATGAACAGGTCCTCCCGCACGCTCCCACGCTCCCATGAAACCCAGCGCGCAGAGAATCATGAAGCAGTAAAACCTCAGCCGCTCGTTCCCGTCGGCTATGCAGCGCTCGTCGTCGGAGTTTCGCTCGGCCCTAGAGCGGACGATTTCTCTGTACTCCTCGAACCGCGCCGGGGTTTTCTCCGTGTTGTGGATCTTGAGGATGCTGTGGATGGCCGGAGCGACGGTGGCAGAGAAGGCGAGGATGGCAGGAGGAGGGCGGCGGCGGCGGGTGGAGAGGTGGGGGGAGGGAGAGCAGATGGATTGCAGGGTTAGAGAGAGAGAATGGGTATTATAGTCTTTACCTGTGTAAAATTCATTGGGCTTTGTGTTTTGGGGGCTCAGAGAACAAAAAATTTACTTTTGGGGGCAAAGCACCCGTTGAAAAAGTCTTGGGGGGTGGGAAGCACGTTTTCATTCGTTTTGGGGGCTGGAAGCATTTTTCCCTTTTCTTTTTCTTGTTGGACGATTTTGCCCTCGAATGATTTGTTTTGAATGATGGAGAGTGGTTTTGGAAACGTGCATCAAATGGGGCTGCCTTATAGTTTAATTATGTAAAAGGGAATAATCAAGTCATTGTTTAAGCATTTGTTTCTTCAAATTGTATATATTTTGTTCGTTCCTCCTAATTGGACAATCGGGCTCTTGTGCACATTAATAAGGACAAAAATAATTCAAGCTAATTAATTAATTTATTCTATTTTTCTATTTTCTTACTTCCCTCTAAATAATATTTTCTCTCAAAAAATAATTAAAGGCATGATTATTTGAACTATGCACAGATCATATGCACAAATTTTATGTTTGAACTATAGTTTTTCATTTGAATTACGATCATCTACGTGCACGATGATAAAAGAAATCAAGCCTTATAATTTCTCAATTCTTAGTCTTATCAACAAAAAACATTCTTCAAATTTGCTTAAGTATATGTTCGGTTTAATTTGACATTGACCCCTCTCATAGTATCAAGCCTTGAAACTTATTATTCTTATAATTTAATTTTGGTAAATAAACTTCCTAGGTAATTTTTTTCTTTTTCATTTATAAGATATCTATTTATAAAAAAATGATTTTCTCTTTTCTTAGTAAAATAAAAAAAAAATCGTAGTTTACTTTTCTGACAAAACTATTTTTAAAAATGATAGATTTTTTTAGCCAAAGAATGCATGTTTGTAAATTAGAAACTAAAGGATCAAAACTCAATATTGGGTTATAACTGTTAGGTCTCATGTTTATGAGACTATTGTCTAATCTGGTTTTAATAATTAACAAACAATTCCTAATATCGTTGTCTAATATTTGTGTTTGCTCGCTAGGTATTTGAGATTCTCATCCTCAGTTAGAGGTTAATTGGATGGATTTGCACTTTAACGATGACATCCCATTGGAGGCTGGCGGAAATTGGAATGAAGTCGTCGTCATTCAAGTCAAAGATACACTATTGCGCTTCATCCTCTACTAAGATCAAGCTTCACGAAGATTCGTAGCTTGGGTATAGTGTTTGTAGCTTAGGTGTTTACTTTATGTGTTATACTTAAAGCTCAAACCACACACACACACACACACACACACACATTATTTCGATTTATCGCTTTCATTGTTTGTTTCGCCTTGTTAAAGGATTTTTAGGATATCTTTGTGGATAAGTTGTCCGAAATGATTTTATCAGAATAATGTGTTTAACAATTTCATATTCTTAACGATTCTGTTAATCTATGAAATTATATTTAACGTTTTCATATGTTTTGCAAAATAATGAGTTTTCACAAATAGGAAGTGCTATTTTAGAAATATCTCTTCTAAGATATTTATTTTCATATATATAAACATTTTTCCAAGTTTTACTACTTTTGGAGTTGTTTTACTATTTTAAATTGAGTTTAGAAAATCAACTTTTTAGTATCTGTTATATCAGCCATTCAGACTCTGGGCAGTCGACCGAATGAAAAGACCGGTCGACTTACCAATATTAGTTTTTTTTCAGCAATAGCTTTGTCATTCAACCAGTCGACCGATTATTTAAATCAGTCGATCGAACAGTGTTTTCAGTCGACCGACCAAGTTTTTGTCAGTCGATCAGCTTTGTTTTATTTTTTCAAAATTAGCCAACGATTGAATTTCTTAGTCGACCGATAATACTCATTAGTCGACTGATTATGCCGTTTTTCTATAACAGCTAGTTTTTGTTTTGATC